GCAGCAAAATAGTATCCTTGAAATGGATCCTAAACAGAGCAGAGTTCTGTGTGCAACATCACAGTGTTCCTTTCACACACACTTTTGAAAGAGCTTCCAAGAAGTTTATGGAACTCACCAGTATGTCCTGGTAAACTTGCCTGAAATGTGATAGTGAGTAGATCCTCTTCCATAGCACATCTGAGGGGCTGGAAAACAAAGACAGCCATTTCTACTATACCAGCTTCTTTAGAAGCGTCGTGAGCCAATTTGATAGATGTTTTCCTAAGTTCATCAGAACAAAGGGGAAAAAACAGCCATCATCCAACATTATTGAAATTGTATACTTATTGAATAACAGCCAATTCTCGTGATTTCGTGATATGCTTTCTGCCAAGCCCACCAAGTATTTCTTTTCCTTTACAGCTGAAAGTTCCATAGTCCTAAGGAAATAAAGCAATAATGACAGCGTCAGCAGCCAGCATTCTGGCTGCAGAAAATGATCCACCATTTTCTGATGGGGTGGTGATGGTAGTTTCTCCCCATACCTCGCCCGCCCTGGCGGGTGGCTTTTTATAGCCTCCATTCGTGGTGCACTTTATTTATGGTACTAGGCTAAAGACCCTCAACCCATTGGTGTTTATCTTCCCACCCATCTGAAATACGCCGCTTTTCTCAGTGTTGATGGGGGATGCTGGCTTGATCCATTGTTGCTCTTAGAAGGCCCCTAAAGCCATTGGGTGTTGCCAAGAAGTCGCGGATCACGTGGAAAACCCTCACTTTCTCTTCACGGCTGTATCAGAAAAATCCCTCAGCTGGATGTTGCAGTGGACCAGCAGTACCCACAAGTGCTTCCAATGGGAACTTGGTTTACCCTGGGAACACAGTAAGGAGAGCCAGGCAGAGGCAGGAGACCTGGAATCCTCGTGGCTAAGGTGCTGCTCCTGCTCGGTCTCCAGAACCTCCTTCGAAGTGGTGAATGAACCAGCCCAAAAGACAGTGCACTGCAGAGCCAGCCTGTAAGATCTTGGTCAAGTTCACCGCTCAAACCTTGGTGCACTGTGTTTTCTCTTCTTTTTTTCGTGTTTGTATTTCTTCTTTCCCAACTTTAAGTACCATTTTGCCTTGGAATCATGATTGCAGAGTTTTCCTTTACAGATGCCTTCTTGGGGGATGCTCTTCACTCTAATGGGCGGCCCCCAGCTTGGGCTGCCCGGGCCCTGCTGTGGCGTTCTCCCATGAGGCGCCTTCTGAATTTCAGCACAAAGTGCCTTCTCTTTTACAGCTGCCACCATCTTTAAGGGATTTTGCTGTGTCAGATAATGGTGGAGACTCCATATAAATGCATTATTTTTAAATTTTTGATAACTCTGAAAGCATCATTTGCACCTGTGTGGTAACTGTACCTGTTGCAGAGTGACATGGGCAAGCTACAGCTGGGGGACTGCGTCCTGCCGGCTTGATGTTGTTCAGGCCAGCTGGGGAGGCGCGGCCCAGCTTAGCCGTTCAGAGAGGAAAACTGGAATGCAAAGTTTTAGTAGTAAGTGAAACTACTTTGGACTTTAACGTCTTAGAGGAAGGAAAAAGAACATAAGGAAGTATGAACTCTGGATGAAGGTAATGTGTCTGCCCCTCATCTTTCATTCATGGTCTGTTAGTGAAAAGGAAGTAAATGAGAATCCTTTGTGTAAGTTTGTAGTTTCTTTGTATTACCAAATAGTTGGGGTGTTGACCCCCGCGCGTTTTGCAAGAGTGTGTGGCAAGCACGGGTAAGCAGGTGCAGCAGGAGTGGCGATAGGCTGTGTGTTTGGGAGTGGCAGGGGGTACTCTGTTTTAGGGGGAAACGCCCACCTTTTAATTTTTAAACTTTTGAATAAACTGTTTAAAAACTGTGTGAAACAAGTCAAATACAGTTTCTTATTCAAAGAGGCAGAATGCTAACACTGTATCACCATCTGTAGGCAAAGTGCTTTCCTCTCCCAGGGAAGCTGGGACCTGAGTCTTCTGAATTGCTCTCCATACGAAGAGACCATCTTATTCGTGGCCCCGCATGTGTTCTTTCTACCCTGTTCCATATTACAGGGCAGTGGGCTCTCCCCTTGTGGTAAGGCTGAGGGGAGAACTTTCTGATAAAGTGCTCTTAACTTGCAGACCCTTTGTACATCTGTTTGCAGCCCCCAGCCTGGGGTTGACCAGGAATCTCAAAAGCTCTCAGGATGAGACTTCCTGGCCACCTGTGTCCACCAGAGCAGGGTTCTGCCTCCAGATCTTGAGTACTTGAGTCCTATTGGGTCCCACTTCTTACGCCTTCTCTAGGTTAGGGAAAGAAACCTCAGGAAAAGGCAGGAAGGGGGAAGACTAGGTAGGACCTGCAGGCAGAAGGCAGCTAAACGTAGGCAGAATGTCTACTGTCTTTAAAGGTACATTGGAAACATGTTGGGATTGGCTTACTGGTGGTCCTGTTCACAGGTAATCCTGTTTCCTACTCTCAGTGGGAGTTAGAAAATAATAGAACTTTAGTGTATACTGAAATGAACCTAAACTAGGGATGTTACTCTTCTTGATTTAGACTCTTCTTGATTCAGAGTGCATGGGAAGTTTCTTTGGTGCCTGTTTCTTTTTAGAATTACTTTCAAAAGTAACACAGATGCATTCCTTCAGGATTAATATTCAAGGTTTGACTAGCAGATTGCTAGTTTTAAAACTCATCTATATGGCATAATAGCAATCCTCTGCTATTTATTACTAATACCTTTTCTCCGAATCATTTCCTTGGAAAGCATATATCCTGAATCACCTTCTGTTTGTCTCTCCTCGTCTTTTGTGTGTTACCCACATGAGGTTTTTAGAACTCAGAAGGCTTCAGTGAATGGTATTTTCCTTTCCTAAGTAGCATACATTTACCTGGAATTACCCATCAAAGCCAACACTGACTTAAAACCAACCCCAATGTGCTTTTTCAGGCATATTTTCAGAGAAAAACATCTTGCCCAAATAACATTTAAGCACCCATAATACACAGAACTCAATAGCAGGCACTCGGGACACATGGAAGTGCCCTGTGGTTCTAAACTGCAGATGAGTTTGAGGGGAGAATTCCTACCCACTAAATGTCTTAAATGCAGCATCAATTGTAAAGTTAGTGTTCTAGTGTCAACATAACAGTACTGTTAAACCAACTCAAAGTTGTTGGGAAACTTAGGGAAGTTTTTGGGAGATGTTTGTGAACAGTAGTGATTAGGCAGAGGGGAGTGAGCAGTCCAGGACTTTGGAAGCTGGTAGGTATGGTCTCATGCTGTGATACAGGCAGGGGGCTGTGAATAATAATTAGTGCTTTTTGAAGAACACTGCAGTCACTTTTGTTACATCATTTCCCTCTCCATCTTCAACCCACTCCAGTCTGGTTCCTGTTCCTTGTGTGATGTGTTAGTATTATCCTATGTATAAAGCATGCTAGTATCAATTTTTATTATTATTCCTCTGATCACTGGTGTCCTGCCATTGCTCTTCATCTTACTTGATCAACCTGCTGCACTCACACTGTTGACTTTAAAAACTGCGCCCACCTCCCTGACTTCCTCCTTCGTGGTTTCTCTGCCACCCCTTAAATGCTGGTGGTGCTCCTCGGAGCAGTGACTTTTGCCCTTTTTTCACTCATGCTCTCTAGGCCATCTGCCCCATAGTGTGCCTCCAACTACCATGTTTTTGTGGTGAGGTCATCAAAGTGACCAACTTACCCAGACTACTCCCCAGAACCCTAGGTCTCATGTAGCCAACTGACCACGAGACGTTCCCATCTGGAGGCCTGCCTTTGGGCTCAGACTAAAGCTGTCGGGGCTCCTCTTGCCTCCATGGCCTTCTTTCCTAGGGCAGTCTCCCGAGCTGTCCAGGCCAGAAGCTTCTTGCATGGCTCCCGGTAGCAAGCATGTCCAGGTCCGGGGCATGGCCACCTGTTCTATCAGTGCCTTCATCTTTCCTTACTGAACCCAGTGCAGTGGGCTTTTAAATGACCTTTGGTCTTTCAAGTCTGTTGTCCCCCCTCTTGCCAAAGAAACTTAAATTTCAAGTCTCATCATGTCATTCTGCAGAAAACCTGTGAGGGCTCCCAATACACCTTTGTCCAAGATAGAAGTCTTTCCTTACTCTGGCCTCACACCTGCATCACCCCATCCACTTCCCTGATGACAGTAAGCAGTTACGTTCCCTTTACTCACGGTTGAGTTGGCCTGGGATACTACCTCCCCGTGTACTCATGGATCCAAAACAACTTGTATTCATCCTTCACAATTTGGGGCATGTGCCACTTCTAGAATTCTCCTGTGAACTCTACCCCTCACAGTAACAACTGGCTACTCCATCCTTTTGAGGTTCCTTAGTGAGCTGGACTGTTTATAGACATCTCCATGTGATTATAAAAAGCCCCTTGAGGGAAGGCACTGTGCCCTACAGAGCTTGGCACAGAATATACTCAACAGGCTACGTCTCCAGAGCATGTTCTAACGTCTGTGCTGGTAAAGGCAGGCCTGCTAGGAAGGCACAGGCTTGCGCTAGTGCCCCTTGAAGTTGTTTCACCAGTAGGCTCCCAGGCTAAGTGAGCTGAGGGGGCTCAGCAGACACCAGACTGGAGTAGGGCTCAGATACCAAATGAGAGAGGCTCTGTAGCAGTGTCTCCAAGGGACCTGCCTGCACTTCGCTCTCCCTCATCACCTGCTTCTCATTGGTGCCATGCTGCGGTCACTTGCTATAAACCAAAACTGGGACATTGAAGTTTGAGTCCTCATATCTTTCAAATTTACGTTTGACTTTGCAGGATCCTACTTCGTTGTTCGAGGGATTAGGGGTCTGGAATGCAAATTAACCAGGAGCTGGAGAAGGGAGACCATTAGGGCTCTGGAACCTAGAGGTACAAAAAAATAGCAGGACAGGAAACAGGCTTGAGGCAAGACAGCTGCCGTAGGAGAGGAGAGTTCTGGGTAGGCCAGTGCTGCTCCTTTCAGTCCCTTTTAACATCTTATTTTTTGCCCAAAAAAAAAACCCACAAGACACAAATGAAAATATTTTATTAAAAAAAAGCATCCCAAACATAGGATTTCGTAAACACTGGTAGGTGAACATGTGCAACTTTAAGTACAGAGGCAAAATTAAAGGCATTTTGCCTTTAAGAGAAAATGTTCTGCAGAGGTGGTTCCACTCAGAGCATAGATGTCGCTCCATCTCCCACGAAGGCATCGGGTTTGCTTTCTGAACTCAGCCCATTTTAACAACTTCAGAGTAATGGCAAGTGGCGGCACTGAATAAAGTACTCAAACCTCTCCTTAACTTTGCATTTCCATTTGATAAGGATCGTATCACACCTTGCCAGTGTGAATTGAAGCCTGTGTTCTGTTTTTACTTACACAAGGTCCTGTTGGAACACTACCTGCAAGTATATTCATCCTTGCTGGGCTTATTTCATAGTATTTTCATAGACCTGTATACATTAGATATCACACCATTCTCTTCGATTTTAGTTCAAAATAATACTGGCTATTGCATATTGTGTGCAGTAAGTCCAGCTACTTTCTAGCTTCTTTATACCTTTTGCTATCATTCTTTGAATACCTTTCTACTTTGGAGAAATCATTATCAGACACATTTTAACACTGTCTCCTTGCCCACTATTTTAAGTCCTCAGTGGCAAATGTTTCCTACTCATACGTGGTATGATGCAGATAGACTTGGGTTCTAAAGCTCAAATTCAGGTTCATCTTGGTTTGCTGAGATACCTCTGAGTAAGACAGTCTGGGTAAAACCATTTCCTTATGAAATTCTAACTGTATAAACCACCTGGCTTACTTATTTAGGCACTTAGAAAAAATACCAAACCTGAGTCCCACCTTTTTTATTAGAAACACTTCTTGCCCAGGTGGCCAGTAACTGACCGTGGGAACAAGAGCAGCTATGACTGAGGGGGGCCACAAATCAGTGATGCTGGGCTCCAGCTGAAGCAGCCTGACAGCCCAGCTTTTTCCTCAGTCGTCACTGGCAGTCCACTTGGTGACACTGGCAGATTTACCTCCAAAGATTTTCCATAGGGCTGGGGCTAAAAGTGTATGAAGCCAATTTGGGGAAAAAAGGATCTAGTTCTTGAAAGCCAGAGTAAATGAATCATTTACACAGGAAAAAGTGTTAAGTACATGTCATACTTTCATATGTGGCTTTCTACCTAAACAAGGACTAGGTAAATGGGAGTATCAGCTGCAGCAGGTTGACAATAAATGATAGTTGTTGAACAGAAGTTATGTGTAACACGCTACACAGTCAATGCAAATTTCCTTTGCGATGACAAGGAAAAGTCATCTAACTGAAGTGTTAGAGAAGCACCATTAAACAATTACTGGGCTGGTCAACTACCAAGGGGCATGAATGTTTACTAGTAAGATCACAGCCAACCTTGACCTCAAGTATGAACCAAGTTTCATGGAAATAATAAAACTACCCTCTGGCCACAAAATAACTCTCACCCTAAATCCTGGCCATCACCCTTACAAACAGATGGTAATCATGACTGTAAAAGGGGGATGGTTCAATTTAAACCCAGATGCTTTCTCAGAGTCAGGGACAGAGCATTGATTTCCACTGTGATGCTGACCCCATGCACAGAGAACACAAGACATTCTTGTTCTTTAAGTCTGGAAAGAGCAGCTTTCAACACCCATCCGACTTCACCTTTGGAGGACCGTGACTGACACAGTTATAAAACAATCAACTACAGCATGGTATGGGAATGGAATTTAACTGGTCACGTTCCTATCTTAAAAGAACTTGAAGGAAACCATGTGCCTCTTTGTAACCTGTGATGAGTAAATATTCTGGGTAGGTGATTGGGAGGCCAACCTGTATTACAAAAAGGGAGACAAACTCATGACACATTTGGCTCTAGCCGTGGGGACTTTGGGGAAGGTGGCTCAGTGTGGGGAGAGTGATGAGTCGTCATACACGACGAACACACAGCTGACAGAGCAAACACAATTACTAGGTCTGATTTTCCTTCAACTCATTCTTCCTTTTGGGGTGACATTAGTATGGTTTCTCATCTAGTGTGAGCAACTCATAGGCTATTTCAAAAATTAAAATATCCTGATATCCAAAAAAACTCCATTAAATATGAAAAGAATATACAAAGAAAAACCCTGTACTGGCACCAAGCCCAGGCAGGTGATGCTCCCTCACTGGAGCGCTTGCAAGTGTTCCTACTGAGAAACGGCCCTTGTGAGAAATTTTGCCCTCATCTTGAAAGCCTGTAAGTTGTATCTAAGGTCTCCCAGCCACACCCACAGCAACATGCTGTTCTAGGGTGAAGATCCATGGCTCCACACCAGCCTCCAAGCCAGGATCATTGAAGTGGCCTGACTTCGAGGTTCTACTTTAGTTGTGAGTCTCCTTCAAAATGGATAATCAATTTTGGCTCAAACACCATGAAACTAAGGTTTCATCTTTTGGATTGTTCATTGCATTAGTGAAAAATGAAACTGAATTTAAACACCTCATTTCCTTTTAGATATTTTGAATGAGAGCCTAGTTCTTCCCTGATGCAGTCTGGGCACAGATGCCGCCAGGAATGGCACCTTCATTAACCTCTAATGAGTATGCCATTAGTGCCTGTTTGGAGAAGACAGATTGTCTCCTTTTAAGTTTGGTCCCTTCGCTGCTAAGCAATGTGCCTGGTATAAAGCAAAACACACAAAAGCCAAGAACAAATAAAGGATGAGAACTGCTTTGCTGAATATGAGGCAACAGGAGTCTTGACTTCCTTTTCGGCTTTTGCAGTTATGCAAAGACTCAGTGAACAGCACCAAAACTAAATTTTCAAGTTACCAGGGCTGCTGCAAAGCTGGTAGCTTATTACCAGTGAGCTTTTTCCTCCTCTGCCGGAGGTGCAAATATACTGAAAAGGATGCATGTTAATTATGGGAGAAAGGGAAAGGATGGGGAAGAAGCATGTCTCTTTCTCATGGGAAGGATTGGCTTTCAGCCCAGAGAAAAACTTCGAAGAGGGGTGGACCCATAGCTGGCCCTAATCCTGAAAGTCATTAGAAGCCATCTGAGAAAGTGGGGCATTTAGCCGATCAAGTTCATCCACTTGGGGTGGGTGATGCATAAGTATTTCCTGGTCCTCCAAGACATCTTCTCCAGCAGCTACCAGATTAGTGAGAGATTTACTTCGAACACACTGGAAATCCACATGGCGACTCTTTCCTTCTTCCTTTTCCCATGACATCTGGATAAAGGGTCGCTGCACATAATTATAGATTACTTCAGATCGACCACCAGGTCTTCTCTTAATTTTTTCTTTACAGGTAGGGTAACCTGAAACAGAAAAAGGCCATTCTCATGACTTCAGCAAACACTCACTTTGGCTTTCATCCTTTCTCCTTCCTCATGGCGTCAATTTCCTCCCAAATCCAAAGACTGCATGAAAACTACTAGGGAAGCGACCAGCCTCTGACCATGTCCTCCCAGCCCCAGTCACCTACACCCTCTCTTCCCTCCGGCTCAGTTAGCCTTATCCTAAGAAGGGAAGTAACAAAAATTCTACCCCTTCTAATGGAAGGGGGAGAGAAGCCTCTTATAATTTCAGAAGCCTTAGATGCTGGCCACAATACTGTAGGACAAAAGTCCTGCTAGGGCATGGCTAGTCCAGTCCTCTAATTCTGCTGCTTGGAAGGCACACTGTATGAGAACTCATTAAGGGAATGTGGACTGCCTAAAATATCTGAAAGGTGGTCACGTGTCTCTGGAAGAAATCTTATTCAGAGTAGCTTCAGAGTCTAGACAGAGAAGGGAGGCAGTCACCTATTAGATATGTGGAAGAAAGTTTTGATGGCAGAACAGCCTGTGTTGCTCTGGTAAATGGAGAGATCCCTGTCACCTGTCCCTGGGGTTTCCAGGGAGATAAGGGAAGTACACAGTGGGAAGAGGTTTAACAGATGATCTCAAACATCTCTTCCAACTTTAAATTCCAACCTAAGTCAGACACAAGGAAGGCCTGATGGGTTCTGTGGGCAAGACTGAGGTGGTAAAAGTAGCAAAAACAGACCCATGGAAGGGAGACCAGGACAGCTTCCGCTCTCTCCAAGATTCAGTCTCCAAGACCCTTCCATGGAGCCCACAGGTTGGGACTCATTGTCAAGGATATTTAAGGCAATTCTGTCAATATATCTAGGCATTTCTCAAAGGTATATAGTAGAATAAACTTAAATTTTCAGTCTCTAAGCTATAGCTTTCAGAAGAATCCTTTCAGATCACAAAAAGATGCTCACTCAAAAGAGCTTGGCAGAATGGCCCTCCCACTTGGTGAGCCCACTAGACCTGCTCCATTCACCCCCCCGGAGGAAATAAAATGAAAAGGAAATGTAAGGGCAAACAAAAACAAAAATAAAGATCCTTCAAACTTGGGTAGGAAGGTTGTTTTCATGTGTGTCCATTGTCTAAGTGCTCTGGAAGCTGGGTTTTAAGAGCATAAGCTGGGCCACTGCTCCATCCTATTCCATAAGCTGCATACTGCCTGGGACATTTTTACCTTCAATTCCAATGCGAATGTTTTTTAGGCCCCGTTCCTTTAACACTGTTTTAGCAACATCCCGATTCTCAATGTATTTGAAGAATCTGTAGAGCTTGGAGCTATAAAGAACTGGGGTGGGGAAAGGGGGGGGAAGGGAGATGTGTAGTTAGTTATGGAGCAATGACTTCCGTAGAGGAAGAGATGAGCTAACAGAATCAGACTAATGAAAGCTGTATTTCTTTTGTCCCTGAAGCAAAAAAAAAAAAAAAAACCAAACAACAAAAAAAAAAACCACACAAAAAAACAAAACCAAAACAAACAAAAACAGATGGATCACAGATTAAATGTTAAATAATAAATTAACCATAAGGAAGAAAACATACAAGATATTTTTATAATCTCAGGATAAGGGAGGCCTTCCTAGCTATGACATAAAACCTAGAAGCAATAAAAGCTGATACACTTGATTGCATAAACATACATTTCTACTCAGTCGAAACCACTATTAAAGCTAAAAAGATAAATAATCAACTGGAAAAAAATATAACTCATATTACAAAGGGCGAACTTCCTTAATCTATAGAGAGCAGTGACAAATAGCTCACACAAATTGCTAAGACTAACAATCCAATTATCTAATGGGTGAAAGGCACAAATACAGTTAACAGAAAAGGAAATTAAAATGGCTCTTAAAAATTAAGATGTTCAATCTTATTCATAAAATGAGAAATGCATATTAAAATTCAAACAGCAAATATAAAAGTTTAGTAAAACATTGTTTTGGTAAGGGTGCAAAAATCTTCATGTTTTGTGAGTGTAAACTGGCTCAACCTTTACAGAGGATAATTTGGCAACATCTATCAAAATTAAGAAAGCACAAAGCTTTTGACACAGAAATTCCATTTCCAGAAATAGTATTCTATAGAGATATGCATGTGTGAAAACACTGTTTAAAAGGATATTCACTGCAGCATCATTTATAATTTATAGCTTAAATGTCCATCAACAGGGCTAGTTCAATCAATTACTGCACAATCATGCAATGGAATACTATAAAGCTATAAAAAAGATCACAGAAATTTTTAATATAAGAAATGGTATACAACAGTCTGTAATAGTATGGTATTTGATAAAAAGGAAAAGCATGTAAGTGCTTATATATGCACATTGAGTACATCTGGAAGAAAATGGGAAAAACTGGATAGATGAGGCAGGGGTGTGAACTGTTTCGATGTATATATGCCTTTGTACTTTTTGAATTCTCAATTGTTACCAATTCAAAAGAATTTAAAATGAAAGGTATGGAGAGAAAAATGACACCACCATTTAATGTGCTGCCTCAGAAACGACCCAGTGCCAGGCACCGGCAGTAGCACGGAAGGCATAGCATCCACTACACTGTGCTCCACAGCACAACGGTTAGACCTGCATCACTAGGCTGAACTGATTGTCCAGCAGAGTGTGCTCATCACTGGCTCAATAGTGCTAGTCATGTGGGTTCTAGGATCTAGGTGCTGCTATACTGGGCAGCATGTTTCTTGCTGAAAACATCTACATTACGCAGGTGGCTCCTACTTTGGGAATACTCCTCCCCCATGGGTGGGGGGTGGTCTTCATCCCAGTCCACAGAATCCTCATCCGTCAGCACAACGATGTGGCATTCTCGCTCCCCTTTCTTGGCGCAGCCCACCATGATGGGCAGGATCAGTTCTTCGAGGTAGTGATCAAACTGCTTGTGAGCCCCGTCATTAGACAGTTCATGCAGTAAAGCACCTGAGGAGAGAAAATGCAGGTGAACATCCCCTCTGCACAAGTGTGTATGTTACTGAAGCGAAAAAGACTAATGGGTAATAGTTGTTATCATTGATAAGGCCCAGAGAAGTGACCCATTTAAAGGCTGAGATTGTTTTGTGCTCCAAGCGATAACTAACATGATTTTGTTAGGTATGTTTCACGTTCTACTACGCTTCCATCGCCTCATGTTGAATAATCCTTGAGCATTCTGATCAAAGGGTTTGTTGAACATAGGGTGTCATACCATAAACATTAATTCTGTGAGAGAGAGAACAATCATTTGGGGATGAGTCTTTGTAGTACCTCCTCTGAAGATGCTCTGGATCTCAATTTCACGTTACAGAACCAGAGAAGAGGAATTATTTGAAGTTTGCCGACACCAAAGGACTTGCTCTAAGTATATGCTAGACCCAACCCAGTAAAGAAACCACAAGTCCAGAGACCTTTATGGAATCTGCAGGGAATTGTATCATGAACTTCAGAGAACAATTTCAGGAACCCTAGGAAATGATAAGATCCTGAAATTTGTGGTTGACTATCAGTTCTAATCTCAGTTTTTAATGCTTAGAGCTTTGAACAAGCTAATTTCTCAGTCTCATTTGTTAAATGCGTTATCACCCATCTTTTAAGGTTATTGTTAAGACTTACACCAAGTTCACATCTGTAAAGCACTTAACAAACACTAAGTTAATAATGACAAAAATAATTATATGAACCCAGCCAATTTATGCTGTTTGACTTTATCGGTGAGACTTCCTGAATATCTGAGATTCGGTACCCTTATCTCTTTAAAGGTTGAGACACCAAGGTCCCAAGGAGGGAAGGAATTAGCTTAGTGACTCACAGGTCAAGCTAGATTTATAAACAACTACCCATTTTCTTTTGTTTACTTCTTCTCAGTGCTTTGCAGCAAGAGAGGGAACAGGATAATATCGTATCTCTCTGCCTCTGCAGATGATTTTCTACCCACACTTGAAACTTTCTGTTTAGTAATAAAAAAATGCCAATCAATTCCAGGCAAACTAAATTCATCCACTCCTGTACTTACTCAGATCCTGACATCGGATAGTGTTGAAGTCAAAGTTAATGCAGAGATAATCACACGTATCTCTAAGGTCTGGGATAGAGATGCCATCAGGACAATTGATGATACCAGTTTTGTAATAATCCTGTAAATAGATTAGGAAGAAGAAATGTAGGCAAAGAACAAGATGAAAAATTACCTCTTAAACACTCTATTTATTGCCAGTTCTGTTACAAGTTATAGGCTATTAGCACTATCACCAAGTTGGTTGATTCATTAAACAGCAAAGTGGTTCCAGGCTTGTCCTGACATATTTAATCAGAACTTGATACCTATTGAGCTCATACAGAAAGACTTATGTTACAGGAATAATGAATGAAGTGGAAAAGTCAGTAACACAGGCTGGTGGAACTCAGGGCCTCTGACCACGTGGGCCGAGGATGTAACAAAAGGCTCTTTCGTACCAGCACTGTTCGAAAGACTGTCGCGCTGATTCCTTCGGCAATCTCATACTCCCCCTTCTCGTTGGGCCGTGTGAAGTTGTACTCTCTTCCTGGTCCAAACATCCTGAAAGATACCAGGCAACAACATGATCTGCTCCAGCAGGATTCTTCAGAGAGAGGACTTCTTTCTTCCCCTCATTCTGGGAGACTCCATTTCACTCTCTCCTAGTGTAAATTAACTGAGTGCTAGGACCCAGCTCCCATCATGTATTCAAATATTAGGAAATGCCCTTCAGACTGGAAAAGAAGGCAGCAATTGCTTTCAGCATCTAAGTGCAAGGAGGCACGATGCTACAAGTCCTCAAGGTTCAACTGCGGTGAGGTTCTGTGGCAGCAAATGGAGTAAAATATCTGCAGAGCCGGCCCTTGGAAAACATCTGCAATATGTGAGGTGCCTCTCTGGCCCTCGCCACAGACCAGGAATGTGACTGCGTATAGACTGGGCAGCTCAGGGAGACAGTGTCTCATGCTCCTGGCCCTTCCTATTCCTTCCCCTCCTCTATCAACATTGACCAATCTGGTGTGCAGTGCTCAGTATTCCTGAGTTCTGCTTTTTAACATCTAATCCAATAGGTGAATCTGTATTAGTAGGTTCAGATATGTTAATGCTTTCCCATTCCTGGTACGTTCTAATGAGGGAGCTCTGGGGAAGAAAAAGCCTTCTTCAATCCAATTCACTCCTAACTACGGGAATGTCAGGTCAAATAGAAAAGGAGGGTAGGTGTTATTAGGCTTATCAGCAGTTTGACATATTTCAGAGAGGAGGCCTGCTCTGGGCATCAACTCAGGCATCATGAGGATATAAGGAGGCCTGGCTTTTCTTACTCATCTTCTGCCCTCCACCCTTCCGTCTCTCCAGTCCCCTCCAGTAAAACTGGCCCCAATGATCGCTATGACAGCTGCAGCATTTCTATACATGAGCTGTGGAGTGGGAGGCCAGTACCAAGGACAAGGGCAGACAGTTGCTATCTATAGCTAGCCTGAAATGCGTTCCCAGTGGTGACTTATGGCCACTTCCTTTCCTAGCCTGCTGGGAAGCCCTGCGGCTCAGCTGTTCAAAACTGTTAGCCTCCACTCTGAACTGGCTGCTTTTCAAAGGTCTGATGAAGACTCTGTATCACATGCTTTCCAAGTCACTACACCATACATAAGAAATCCATTCTGATAAAAGCTGTCTTCAAAGAATGCTGACATTTTTTCTGGAACGTTCTGGTTGCAGTCTAGCTGACTCAGTTGTGAACCAAAATAGTGAACAACATGGTATAAAAAGAATCTGCCCCCGCCCCCATCATCAGCAGGGCCTAAACTTGGAGATAGTTCTCCAGCAGTGGCACAGATTTGCATTAATCCATTCTCAGCCTCTCCATCTGCCCGCTCTGTGACCAGTAGTCCCCATTTGTAAGCTCATTGGCTTATGAATACTGCATGTAGCCTCAGGACACGACAAACCTAAGTAACTCAGAATTCGTGATCTTGGCCAACTCAGCTAATGAGCTATTTAGGTAAAGAAATTGGACTATCTTCTTAGAACAACCCACTCTTAGATTCAAAGAACCACTGCCACACGAGAATCTACTACCTAGAAAATGTTTGCCTCCTTCTCTTTATCCTACTTTCAGAGGAAACCTAGTGCAAGCAGCCAGCCTGCCCTGAGGAACACTTTTAAGGGGCGGTACTAGAGGTAGGGCATTAGCAGCAGTAATACCAATACTGAGTACAGTTAGTCAAGTCTGATAAAATACAGGGCCCATTTAGAAAATGTCTTAATGTTATAGTTTAATCTTAATTCAGATATTTGAGAAATATATAGGTTTGGTTTTGATTAAAAATGGTTCACTATGAGTTTGTATGTGTATGTTCAAGTAAACATGTATTTGAATAGCTGCATCCCATTTAGCTTAAAATTAGGAAATTAGTGTAGTCCACTCTGATTTCTAATTCAGTTCAAACTAGTTCAATGTCCTGATTGAAGTTAGAGTTTTAAATAACATCTACTTCTAAGTAGACGAAAATCCTCAAAAGCCAAATGAGTGTGTATACACACACACTATTATTAATATCGCACTCTTTTCCCATTTCTCTCCCTCATGTTACGGCCCATGGCCTCCTAACCCCCAGCCCATGCTCCAAGATGACTTCTGGCCAGTGCTCCTTCTGAGCAGGCTCCTTCTATTTCCTAAATTCTAACCCTAAAAAGCTGGGGCAGGAGGTGGTAAGAGAAGGATGAGACTATAGTCCGAATGAAACATGAAGAATAAAAAGAGCAATTATGAAGCAAAAAAGCCAGATATAAGGATTCAGTTTCAGAAAACAAACAATGATGGAGACATTGGAAAATGACTGTACAGCATCTATTTCTAAGCATGGCCCACAAATAAATGTCAGGCAAAATACTGCTTTTCAGTGAAATGGCTTTGTTGTTGTGTCATGTCAAACACTTGCCTAATTCTTTTTTTTTTAAATTAAAAGACAAGTAAGACAAATGACCCCCCTCCCCCCAAAAGAACATGATTTTCAGTCCACGTCTTATCCCAGTATCTTTGACTTGTGGAATTTAGAAAACATTGCTTTTGTGAGGTTATGCAAATTGTGAATAAAAGAAATTAAGTATTGGACTTCTGTTTTACAGTGAGTTTACAGAGGAACAGGGAATGAAATTTAGCAGATTATTTCACATAGTTCTGATTGCACTCCCTTTGTTCATTATATTGGCTTTGTAAATAAGTACTCAGCCCCCCCAAATCACCAACACATGTAAGGTGTGTTTTTTTTTTTACCAGCTTGCCCTCCCTGTCCCACCAAGCAGGACGGTAGAAAAATCAGCAATGCAATGCTTTTTATTCTCACATCTATAGCAAGATAAACAGCAGGTATTCTATTCCTAGGGAACAGAGTGAATCTGAAAGGAAATTATCATCAATTACCTTCCCAACATGGTATCCGGATGAGCAGTAAAAATTTGTGGATTCACCACAAAACGTGTGCCATCTACAAGAAGTGTCACTTTCTCTGGTGCCTGGGAATGAAGGTTACTGCCAAAGCCTGCGGTACTGTTTCCAAATCGTTCTGCAGTAAAGGGTTCATGGTTCCGTTTATTCCCACCTTGGAAGCAAGAGCCCTTGATGTCTTCGGGAAGTGGCATTATGTGAGGGAGCTGAAGATTTGCTGGCTGAGAGGCGTAGTCAGGTGAAAGGTCTAAAAGATCATACAAACAAACCAAATAACTTGACAGAAAAGCCTTGAAGAAAAAAATAAACCCAGTCTTCTTTAAAAAAAAAAATACAAAATTAAACAAAAAACCCAAAGCTTTTTAGGGGTCAATAGGCAAAAACTCTTTCCTAGAGAAAATAGAGAAAAAAATACAACTAGAACCTTACATTGGATCACCCCGAGCATTTTTCTGTGCGTGTGAGTGGGGGTGGGGAGAAGAAGGAAAGAGGGATAAAGAAATACCCACATTTTAAAATAAAATGATTAAAAACTTTAAAAGTAAACTCCTACATGGTTTTTAAAAATTAAACACTAGAGAAGAGTTTCTGTGGAAAACCAGCAATCTCCTGCCATGCCCCACAACTGCCTTAGCTTGTTCCACAGAGACGTCACTTTTTACTTCTGTTTTCACTTCTCTCTCTCAATAATACTTTATTTCCTGTGTTTTAAGGAACCCGCCACCTCTGCATGCCTAAACAGTTTATTTTCCACATTCTTTGAAAATGTTTCAGAAATGATAGACTCTATCTAATGCACCACTCTTCCTAGAAAAAAAATCACAGAAAAATGCATTTTCACTATGCACAGGAGAATCCTAACATCACCAACACCACTATTTAAACAGGCAGGTCTTGTGATCAGCAGCAAAATTATAGTGCAAATGGCCTTTGATTAGGATTCATGCTTGGAATCTCAGTTTCTGTATCACCAAAGAGCCATTTTCTTTAGATAACTTATTTTCCTAAACCTGTTTCATCATCTATAAAATGAGAATAATGTTCATTCCACCTACCTTACAGGACTGACTATCAACTGAAAGAAAGTATGTGAGAGCACTTAAAAACGTGTGATGATGCCACATCATGCAAAAGCAGCTTAAAAAAGAATTAATGAAATCTGATGTACAAAGACCAGCAGGAGCAAGTATTTACTAAAAAGGCACCAGAGGATGCTCTTAAATATGCAGTTCTCCTATTTTATTTTACTGTTAACAAATATTTTTTAATGAAAAATTTCAAACATATCGAAGCATAGAGTTAATACAATATGTATGTGCCATTACCTAGATCTGAAGCTCAGTTAACATTTTTCTACATTTTCTTCAAGCCTTTTTTTTGAAAGAAAATATAGATACAACTGAATGTCTCACTCCCATCCTTCCTGTACTTTAAATTTGTGTATATTTCATGAACATGATTTCTGCCCATTTCCGAGCATTTAGATAACCAAATTGTTAGCTAGAGTGCACTCAATTTTTCCCTACTTGCTTCTAGAGAAAAGGAAAAACCTACACCAGAAACCAATTTAGGGTCCACATCCTACAGCTTTTGAAGGATTTAAATTTTCATTGTGGCCCTCACTTTGCCACACTAGCTTATTGACAGACAAGCTAGTACAAGAAACACCTGAATCACCAGACAGGCCTCCACTGGCAGTGCTGTTCTTCAGAATGAAAGTGGGTATTGACGTCACCAATTTAGTTCTCTAGAAAGCTTGATTTGCTCCCCGAGCAATTAATTAGGTAGATTCCTGAAGGATTCCTCAGGTTTCACCTTTAAATGGGTGAGCAGGAAAAGGGACTCACTGCACAAATTCTCTCTAATGGTACATTCTAGGGTGGCAGTCACTCTGTTTTTCTGTCTGTTGATATATATAAAAGAGTAGCACAGCCTGATCAGAAAGACACAGGTTCAAATCTGAGTCCCCTACATCTTAGCAGTATGAACCTGAGCAAGTTACCTAAGCTTTTAAAGCCTCCGAATCCTCTTTTTTAAAAAGAACGACTAATCTAAGCAGGGATTTGCAAACTTTCTGTAAAGAGTCAAAAAGCAAATAGTCTGGGCTTTGTGGGTCACCATCTCTGCCACTGCAGCAGGAAAGCAGCCATAGGCAATATGTAAACAAATGGGAATGATGGCTATATTTCAAAATTTTATTTATAAAAATAGGCAGCCAGTCCAGACTGGACCAGTTTGCCAGCCTTGATCTGAAGAGATGTAAGTGAAATTCCTAATACGGTTAAGTGCTCGATAAGTGTAATTGCTATCATTGTTGCTGTTGTTTTTATTAAAAGTTAAAAAGAACCTAACAGTTTATCGAGAGCCTTCATGTCCATTATCTTCCAGCCTTGTGAGGCAAGAATATTAACATCTCTGTTTTCGAGCCCTCGGCAGTGTGGCTCAGTTGGTCGGAGCGTCGTCCCATTCACCAAAAGGTTCAGGGACTTTGATTCCTAGTCAGGGCACATACCTAGGATGCAGGTTCAATCCCTGGTTGCGGTGCATATAAGAGGCAACCAATCAATGTTTCTCACATCAATGCTTCTCTCTCTCTAAAATCAATAAACATGTTTTAAAAAAATCCCTTTTTCTAGGTTAAGAAGGCAGGGCTCAGAAAGATTAAGGAGCTCACCCACAGTTACAGCTGATGGGTAGCAGAACTATAATTTGAATCTGTCTTCTGCCTGCAAACCCATGTATTTTTCTTAGACCATTATTGCCAAGTTAGGCGTTCTAGACTGATTAAATAAGTGGAGATTTTCTGTGATGGTTTAGCTTTATATAACTGCAATATGTAAGCTAAGCCAACTACTAACTGGATATTTGCTTTAGATTAAGAATATTTGCCCTGGCTGGAGTGGCTCAGTGGACTGACTGCTGACCTGCGAACCAAAGGGTCGCTGGTTTGATTCCCAGTCAGAGCACATGCTTGGGATGCAGGCCCGGTCTCCAGTTGGGGGTATGCAAGAGGCAACCACACACCGATGTTTCTCTCACTCTCTTTCTCTCTTCCCCTCTCGCTCAAAATAAATAAAATCTTTTAAAAAAAGGCTAACAATTGTTTAAAAAAATAAAATAAAAAAGCATTTATGTTTCCTGCGCAGAGTAGATGCTCAGGTGTCAAAAAGCCCTCCATATTAAGTCAGGATCTAATCACCATACCATCATTCCTGGGACCTAGAGGGTAGGTAAGATTTTGAAGGCCAGAAGAAGTCAGGCTATTTGTTTCTTTTTCTTGGGCTGCAGCTGAGGTTTCATCCATCAGGCAGCTGGCCTCCTGCCGTAACAACCTGTCACTCTCACTGCCACGGTGAACATTCATCCTTGGACTCTACGCTGAACTGTCTGCTCGATCAGAGAAAAATCCTGCAAGACAGGAATATGCATGATTTAGAACACTTTCAGAACAGGTTTCCCAGGCCTTCCATGGCATGACAGCAAACTGACAGCACTATGCCTCTCATTCTTGTTCTGAGAAGAAATGACATCATAAACATTCCTGTAATTTAATATTGAAAGGAAATGGCTGATTTAAATGGTCTGTTGACAAATCTGTTAGTAGGGAATAATTTTAAGCTTTATCCATAAAGAGACATTGAATGCACTGACTTTGGCCACATTCATGATCAATTCTACATATTTAATAGTGATGCAGTAATTTGGTGGTGTTTATACTACAGAGACACAGGAGAGGAAGGGTACAATTAGTCACTTAAAGAAAATCTCCCCACAGATTTTAAAATATCGAGACACACACACATTCCTGGCAACAATGGACCACCAGAAGGTGCTAAACAATTGCAACAATAATGCTAGTATGAGAGTTGAAACTAGAAGTCACCTGCACTCAAAAAAGCAAAATGTAGTGCCAAGCTCCCCTTTATCAGTTCTCTCTTTCACTCTCTGTAGCTTATGCCCAACCCCTAACACCCACCTCAAAATAACACGAAGATGTCACTGTCCATAAGGCCAACTCTCCCTCCAACCATGCATGATCATCATGAATAACACCTGCTGAGTGGATGCCCTGTGCAAGGTATTCATTCACTGATCAGGCAGAATGGAGAGGTCAGGCAGGAGGCAGGAAGCAGGAGGCCGGAGGCCTCACGCCTGCAGCCCTTCTCCTTGGGGGCTGCCCAACTACTGAAAACATTCCTCAAGTTCACCCTATGGAGTACTTTCACAGTTTATACTGTACTGATTTCCACTTGGTGTTTTGGTGGAAGGATTATCTGACATTGCCAGCAATTTTTATGCATATGGTTGCAGGCTAACACCAATTCAGGAAGAAGTTAGGTCACTAAGGGCAGTATCATGTTTTAATACTCTGAATTTTCCTGACATGCAAGCATGTAAAGGTGTGAATAAACATTTGAAATGTGAATTAAATTCTGAATCTCTCCATAACCCGCATCAGTACATTTTTTAGCATAAAGTTGGTTGACCAGTTAGTACCTGTTTTAACTTGGATGAAATATAAAAATGACCACTTTGAAAAGATCAGTCAACATGTGCCTGAAAACAAATTATTTTAAAGAGGAGATACTTTCAGTTGATGAAATCTTTTATTTTCAGCCAATGGCTCTTAAAACATCAGGCAAACTGAGGCAACAGGTGAATGTTCTAATAGAAAACTTGATATATGGACACAGCTTTTTCAGGATTACCCTTACTTAAAGAAAAAACCTATTTACACACAAAAAATGCAGCCACTTAAAATTTAAGTGGAGACTGGTAAAATCAAACGGAACCACTACTGCCCTCAAATTAGATTCGGAAGATGTCAAAATCAGGTCAACAGAACAGGATAAACAGTATCTGTGGAACTGGAAAGAGCATTCCTACCCTGGAAAGGCCAAAAGGGGGCCTGTTTCTTTAAGCTAACCTGGTTTTGAACTGCAATGTTTCACTCAGCCTTGAGCTGCTGCTTCTCAACTCCTCACTAAATGCTCAAGAACCAAGTTCATACTTTATTTGTTGCTCTCCAAAGATCTCTTGGACCAAGATATAATAAACTTGAATAAATCTATCTCTTGAAAATCTGCACAGTCTAGAAAACCAGTGATTTTCAACTGGTGTGTCACAAAAAATTTTAAAACATGCAATAGCTATTTAGTCAGGGGGACTGACCTGTTTCCCCTTCTACTGTCAAAGAGAAAAAAACCACAACAGCCAACACAATAGCTATCTGGTGTGAATGAATCAAAATTACGCGTATTCCTTTTTTTGTCTGAGTGGCAAAAAATATTTTTTTTGGTGTGCTGCAATATTTTAGTAATTAGTTTGTGTGTGCCATGAGATGAAAAAGGTTGAAAAAGGTTTAATCATCATCCTCAATCCCAGCCACTTCTCCAAGTGACTATCACTACTTGCTTGGTATGAACTCTTTTAGACTTTATACTACACAGATATAGTGTTAAAAGCATATAGCTTCTTAAAAAACTAACTATATTCTATATGTACCTCCCATTCTGTAGTGCTTTCCTAAATTAATGTTCTAGAGATCCATCCATGTTGGAAGATCAAGATCTAGTTCATCCCTTTTTAACTGCTATATATGTTATATTCTATGAGTCTATTCCATCTACAAATATTTAAGCTGTCTTTACTTAGATACTACAAATTATACTTCAATAAACAAGATCAGAGTATACTATGAAGCTCCAAGACAGGAACCAGTTTGCCAAGTTTTCCCAAATGGCTTTGGTTTCAGAACTCCTTTTTTCAGGAAACTGTCTCAGGATTAATGCTTATTGGCACACACTTGAAGAAATCACCTAATCAACCCAACATTTCTGCAAGTCCCCTATGAATGAATTCTTCTATAATCCTAGAACAACAGAACAAAATTCTCTTGAGCTATGAAACCTAAAAAGTAAACAGACTGACATCAAATTCTTCAACATACACCAGAGCAGCCAGTTTAAATTTAAGAGGAAGGGTCTATTCCCCTTCCAGGATGGATGTTTCATTCAACTTTGAATGTATATTTTCATTGCCTACCATGGCTCAATTCTGTAACTATACCCCTGCATGAATCTTGGTCCTCAGAACAGATCTAAGAAATAAAAGAAATAAGCAAAGTACTCTAACAGTATAGTTCTCTATTGCTACAAAACTATTTTTGGCCAACAGTCCTAAAAGTCACAGTAATATATAATCACAAGCAGCAAAGGATCACGACATCCCTGGCATATCTAACACTGACTGAAGAGTTTGCTTTCAGAAAACAGCTGGGAGTAAAAACATACCAGTGAAACACAGACTGTATAGCTATGAAGCAAAGAAACTTAATATCCAGCAAGCCAGCTCAAACTTCACTTCCACATCTCACGTAAAAGCATTATACACTCTGAAGAGCTACACAAATATTTTTATTATTTATTCACAGGCCTTCTATAAAGGCCCATATTTTAAGTCCTGGTTTTGCTGACCTGGAACTTCAAAACATTGAGAATCATAATCTCCCTATCTTGGAAAATTTACATACAACCTTTGATAATGGAATTATCGCCACATATTTCTTGCACATAAAAAAGGACACATTGGTTTCTCTCTAGAACAGTCATCTCAGGTATTAATCCAAAATAATCTCTAGATAACATGTATTTTCTTTTTACTTGCAACTGCCTCTAATTATTTCTGAAGAAAATAAGATAATTAAACAAATCACTGTTCCATTAAGTTCAGTATCTTGTCACTGAACTATTCAGATTTTTAAAATCCAGAGGGAATGGGGCTGGGGACAATCAAACTTAACATGAGTGCATTTCAAAAGCATTATGCTTTCAGACTATTAATGGTACAAGAGTCTCATCTTTTACTTCAGGGCCATGTTTCCTCTGTAAGAGCTGGGTGGTGACAGTGTGGTGGAATGCCACAGAATTTGGTAAATAAACAATCTCCCCTTCATCTATATTCACCTATGCATTAATTTCATAATTAAATCCAGAAAGCAATTACATTTTTTTGCCAAACCTTCATTTCAGACACAAATCCCAGTCCTTTCAGTCTGTTCTTATGTGAAACAACTACATTTCTTTAACCACTCTAATTGCCTGTCATTCACTTTGGTCTAGTTCCATTACGCATAGGAATGAGAACCCTGCTAATGCTGTCTATCAGAGGTGAACAGATTCCATTTTGCTTCACATATGCTCTCTGGAGATACCCAGGATTTCTGGTTAAAAGGGGCAAAGGTAGAGGGACAGACAATAGAGGTAACACACACAATCTAAAATGTCTACATGGTCACCTTCTAATATACCTGACTGATAGTTAAGAGGCTGTCATCTTCAAAACACACTCTGGATGCATGTGAGTGTGTGTGTATGTGTATTTATATTTATATCCTCACCCAAGGACATACTCATTGATTTTAGTGAGAAGGGAAGTGAGAGAAACATCGATTGGTTGCCTCCTGTATGCACCCCAACCAGGGACCGAACCCAGAACCTAGGTATGTGCCCTGACCAAGAATCGAACACACAACCTTTCCGTTTATGAGCCACCCAGGAGGAGTGTTTATCTATGTATTTAAACCAACTCTACTGATGTTTTTCTGTTATGTTTTTATTCACTCCCTTTGCATGTACAACCCTAAAGTTCCAATCTCAGAAGAAATTTTGTATTCTAAGGCTTTCTGGTTTTCCTTTCCCAGATTATTTCTAAAAATATTAAGATCACTCCAGTATTAAGCCCATATAAACTTTATTCTTAACATTTCTAAATCTTAGAGGTTTCCTACCGTATGTCCCCAAACCCGTAACATTTAGCTGTTTGAGTCTGTAAAGAGAGTGACCCTTGAAAGTAAGTTATTTCCATTGGGTCCTCCCTTCCCATGTACTTGCTGTCTTCCTCAAAGAACTCTGGCAAAGTGGCAGACATAAATACTCCTCAGAGACTTCTTGCTACATTTTCCCCCAAAGTATGATGTTCCATTATGACTCTAACTTTTATAACTGTGGCTCTGGGCAGGTTTCTAAGTCTCTGTGTGTCTCATCTTGCTCATTTGTAAGAAAGGATAATAACCATTAACCACATAGGATGATGTAAGGATTAAATGAGGTAATACATTTATTTTTTAAAAGATTTTATTTATTTATTTTTAGAAAGAGAGGAAGGGAGGGCGAACGAGAAGGAGAGAAACATCAATGTGTGGTTGCTGCTCACGTGCCCCACACTGGGGACCCGGCTGGCAACCCAGGCATGTGCCCTGACTGGGAATCAAAAGAGCCAATCCTTTCGTTTCCAGGTTGGCACTCAATCCACTGAGCCACACCAGCCAGGGCCTAAACGAGGTAATACATTTCAAGTGCTCAGTATGATGCCTGCACATTAAGCACTCAGTAAATGTTACTTACTGT